TGTATGATGTGTGCTTCCCGCTTCGTGGTAAAAGGGCAGAGAACAAGGAGGAGGAGGAGGTGGAGGAGGAGGAGGAGGAGACGGGGCAGGAGGAGGAGGAGGAGGAGGAGGAGGAGAAGCACGAGGAGAAACAGGAGGAGGAGGATGAGAAGTGGAGGAGGAGGAGGAGGAGGAGGAGGAGGAGGGGAGGAGAGAGGGAAGGGCATGGGTGGGGGGGTGAGGAGGAGGGGGAGGAGAACGAGGAGGAGAACGAAGATCGAGGATGAGGAGGAGGAGGAGGATAAGGAGAGCTGAGGAGGAAGGAGCAGGAGGAAGGAGGAACGGAGAAAGATATGAGGGAGGAGGCAGGGGATGATGAGGGCGGAGGCGGAGGAGGGCGGAGGAGGAGGAGGATGAGGAGAAGGAGGATGAGCAGGAGCATGCGGGAGAAATGGAGAGGCAGGGGGAGGAGGGAGGAGGAGTTGCAGTTGGGGGGAGGACGAGGAGGAGGAGGAGGAGGAGGACCAGAGTCAACCCAAGATGAATCATCGATGTTGCCCGAAGTTTCCTTCTCAAAAGTGTCCACGATAATTCCTTCTCAGGGGGGCGTGAAGTGCCACCTCGACAGACGAGTGCCCCGTGGCCCCGCGGTTCTGCAATGCAGACGATGGCCCCGTTTCGAAGAAGAGCTGCCATTCGCGTTTCTGGCTACGAAGACGGTGACGAGGCAGGATCACACGATTCAAGGAAGTGTCCAGCGAAAGTCGTGGTTTGAAAGGGGCCGCCCTCAGCACGTACAAATGTTCTACGCCCATGCCTGGCCATAGAACCCAAATAATTGTTCATACGATCGCCCCGATTTGAAAAGAAGCCGCCATCTATCCGTGTAGCTGCTACACAAGTTTCAAATGTCTGACCAGAAAGGCAAGATGGTCTCGAGCGAAAGCTCCATTTTGAAAAGGAGCCGCCCTCTATGCGTGTAGCTGTTGGAAAGCGAAACGACGAATGCGTGCAGCGCTACGGCGAGAGCCACATTAAAAAGACACCTCCGCCCATGCCAACTGCTGGGAGCTTTTAGATTAAGATGAATGCGCGCGGAGCTAAGTTGAGAACGACATTTTGAAAATGGCCCTCCTGAATGGTAGCTGTGGACAACTTGTTAGATGTATTTGCGCGGCGCTAAGGAGAGAGCCATCTTTTGAAAACGACCCATCCACCTCGATCCGTGCAATTGTTGGAAAGTTCAAGCTTTGGGGCCATAAGCGAGAAGGAAGTCTCTGGTGAAATGCCCGGCCGACCCTACAGACACGTTTGGTGGTCAGACGGATCAGGACAAAGTATGGGGGTTGCGGAGGACGATGGCGGAGGAGTGGAGGAGGAGTGGAGGAGGATGGAGGAAAAGGGAAGAAGGCAGAGCCAGAGGATAGAGGAGCAGGAGGAACAGAAGGGATGAATGGGGAGGAGGACAGGATGAGGACAGGAGGGGAGGGTGTGGGTGAAGGAGCGCTTTCTGCCGCTACTGGCCCCCCCCCCCGGCTCGAACTAGGGGGGGGCGTTGGCGGGGGGGGGGGGGCAGACGACGAGCCCCCCCTCCATTTCAAACCTGGGGGCAGGAGGGGCGGCATTGAGAGGCCCCCCTCCCTCCGATTCAGACTCACTCGGCGGTGGGGGCGAGGGGAGGGGAGTTCATCACAGCTGGATCCAGCCACAATCGGGTTCTGTTGGAGCTGGATCTGGCCTTAACAGGATTCTATGGAAGCTGGGGCGGGCTCTTGTAGGGTTGAATTATGGCTGGACCGAGCCCTAGTAGGGTTCTATCGGTGCATCCAGACTGTAGTAGGATCGTATCAGAGTTGCATCGAGCGGTCGTGCGATCCGATTGGAGCCGGACCCAGCCCACAGTGGATTCTTTCGAAAGTTGGATGGGCACAGGCAGGCCAGCAGGCAACAGCAGAGAGAGAGGCGCGGCCCACGTGTCCCTCCGCTGGCCTATGGACAGCTCTGGTGGGCAAGCCCTGGAGGAGGAGGGGGAGGAGGAGGAGTGGGAGGACGAGGAGGTCTAGGAGGAGGAGGAGGAGGAGGAGGAGGACGAGGGGGAGCAGGAGGAGGAGGAGAAGGAGGAGGAGGAGGAGGAGGAGGAAGAGGAGGAGGAGGAGGAGGAGGACGAGGGGGCGGGCCACCTGGCCGCGTCGCTGGGCCCGCCGACCCTACCAAGCAAGTGGGCCCACGAAAGCCAGCGCCGTTGACCCCTACCTTCCTCACCTCCCTCCTTCCCTCCCTCCCTCCGCGTCCCCCCCATGCCGCGAGGTACACCTCGCCCGACGCCGCGCAGCAGGCTCGAGCAGGGATGTTGTTGATGATGAGGATGAGGATGAGGATGAGGATGAGGATGAGGATGATAATGATAATGATGATGATGTTCTTGATGATGATGATGCTGATGCTGATGCTGCTGATGATGATGATGATGATGATGATGATGATGATGATGATGATGATGATGATGATGATGCTGACGATG